CGCAGGGGCGCATTGCCAACCACCGCTCCCAGGAGCCTCCGCGCGGTGCACCACCGCTCCCAGGAGCCCGTGCGCGACCGACCACAGTTCCCAAGAGCCCCCGCGCGGCCTGGAGCACTGTGGGAAGCGTGGTCCTTTCCGGCGTGCACCAAATCGCTGGCTTGTTTGGTTGGTAAAGTCTCTGGTCCTCAGAGGTTATATGTTGAGCCGCTGCTTGTTGTGCAAAGACCAAGTGTAATTTGGAACGACCTATGGGCTTGTTTTTGGTACCAGGGATCGAACGCGGGTCCTTGCGCTTGCGAGGCAGGAGGCGGAACCACTGAGCTAAATCCGCAGCCCCGCCCTGTGGGCTTTTAAAGAGAGTTCCCTACAGAAATAGTGGGTGAGAGAGCGTCGGAAAGGGACGTTCTGGGTTTGATTGTAGTGTAGCTGACGAGCTGTGGGAGCTGTGAGCGTCTCATCTGGAGAAGCCTAGGGGTAGACAGTGATAGGGGCGGTAGAAGGCGACCGACTGGTTGGGTCCCTCCTTCAGAAAACATAGTTCTGCATGAACCTTACGGGCCACGAAGAGAATACAGCAAATGAAAAGTTAAATTTTATTGATTGAAGAATGGAGAACTTCTCTGAGGACCAACAAGTACACAGGCAGTCAAAGCCTTGGCCTTGGGAGGGCTCAGGGTTGCTTTTGAACTTCTATGAGATAAATTCTCCCTAGAATGCCTCAGCCTCATTTGAATGCACTTTTGTAGGACATTGGCCTCATCTTGAAGCTCTTTTGCCTGGTGGACTTCTCCAGAACCCCTCTCTCCTCCGAAATAGACTTGTCATCCTATTAGAACTTTAGAAAAACTGTTTCCTCTTGTGTCCCCATTGCTTACCTCAAAGCCACATATCTGTTAAATAAAACAAAAAGTTTAATTTCTTAAAGTATGCTTTTGGATCATGTAAATAATGTTAATTATTACCATTAATAACATCTTTGCTTAAATTTATTTAACATATTTGTTGAGCCCATTGTAAGTGTAAGGTACTATGCTGACCCAAATGTAAGCATGATGCCCTCTGCTCCTTAAGAGGTCACTGACAGTCTGAGTGGGAAGAGACAAAAAACACCATCTTTCTGACATTTGGGCCAGAAGGCAAGACCAACAGTGTGTAGTGCAACCTGCTCTGAAGTTTACCACTCCTGGACAGCACCTCAGCACCATGACTGAACTCTCTGGAGCCTCGCCTCTCAGTCGACCTCTCTGTCCTTCCTTCCCTTCTAGAGAGTCACAGGTACTTTTTTTTTTATTCTTCAGAATCCAGGAAGCCCACAACAATGCCAGTCTGCTTGCCTGAAGAGTGCAGTGCTGTGAGTTGTCCCTCCTCCCCAAAGCTCTGGGTGGGTGAGGGACAGTATTCCCTAACTTTTTGTCAGGTGCTGTGACAAGCAGCACCATGTGCCTTGAAACCATTGCCAGCATATGGGTCCTATTGAGTTCAAGACCAGCTGTTGGACGGGGTAAGTTTCAGACCTTGTAATGAAAGTGGTCGATAAAGCTTTGGCAGGCAAAAAAGTGGCTGTGAAGGGCAACTATAGTTATGTTTCTCCTGTAAATCTGGGAAAGTTCTCTTGAGGGATCTCAGTAAAGTGGACATATTGAACGGCAAGTGGGGCAGATAGTGTTTAGGATCGTGGTTGATGAGCCTAAGATGAGACCTAGTTCTCCCTAGATGCTTACCAGTCTTTGGCCACTGCCTGAATCTGAAGGCAGTTACTTAGGAAGGAGGGTGTCAGCAATGTAGAATTGAAAGCCTGTCAAAGAACTAGTTTCCCACTCCACAGACATTTCAAAACATTTTGGGAAGGAAAGATAATTCAATAAATGGTGTCATGACAAAAGGCCAAACATTGGAGGAAGGTAAAGTTAAATGTTTATCTAACTTCTATGCCAAAATAACCACCAGAAAGATTAAATATAGAATGTGAAACATAGATCCATAAGTGGCCCAGAAGAACACATGGATTAATATTTTTGCAATCTTGGCATAGGAAAGGCTTTCCTAACCTTGGTAAGAAAGGTAGAAACAACAAAGAAAAAGATTATAATACAGTACTTCTGTGTGGCCCAAACACCAGTAAGTGAAATTAACACATGACAAGCTGGGAAAATATTTACAACTGTCATATTTAAAGACACCATAGAAATCATTAAGAAAAAAACCCCCACATTTCAGTAGAAATGTGGCCAAGGACAGCAACATTTTAAAGAAAAATACTCTGATTTACTATTCTGTTTTAAGTGCCAATTGAAACAAAGAAAAATTTCTGCCAAACTACTGAATGGTAGCCTGCAAAGAGGAGTAGTAGAATGGACATTTTCATCCATGTGTAAATTGAGACGTTCATTCTAATTAGAGATTTGACACTACATATCAAAAGGCTTAAATGTCTACATACCACTTGTAGAATTATTTTCCTCAGGAGAAAAAAATCAGGTAATTGTATGCTAAGTGTGGAATGAAAAGCTGTCATGTCCAGCTTTCTGAAATGAGTTATTGGCTTGGAAAAGACTCTCAGACTGTCTGCTCCAGAAACTTCCAAGAGACATCCATGCTCACAGGAAACTGAAGTCTTCCCTTGCTGCTATAGCACTGTGTGGATCATTTAGGTCAGGAATAGTGGTGTGAAAGTCTTCTCTTTTGGAAGCGTTCATCAGAGTAGTCCCCTTTAATGCTTCATTCATATCTGTGTTTACTTCAGTCCCTGTCTGGAAGATAAGCTGCCTAAAATAACCGTTAGCAACTGTACTTAGCCCCTGGCCACAACCACAGCCTATTCACAGAAGTAACCAGCCTTCCTACCATCTCTCCTGTACTTGTGTCCTTTCAGTGCTGGGAAGGAAGTCCCTCTCAGATACCTCCCTGCTCAGCAGCCAGGTTTGACTTACCAGGATAAAGGGGTCTGTGTTTTGATGTAGATCTCTGAAAAGGCTGTTAAACTCTGGGCGAGAGCCACCAGATGTTGTACTTGCCAGGCTGGCTTCTGCTTGAACAAGTGATCTGGTCTGCTGAAGTTGCCTCTGTCCATTTGAGTAAATGTCTTGTGTTTGACCTCACTATCACCTGATTTGTAAATTCAGGGTACTGAGAACTTGGATTTCTTGATTGTGGAGTTCACCATGAATCTGTTTCCTTAGAACTCTCATAATTATTCAAACCAAAATCAATCATCTTACAAAAGCTGTTTGTACCTGCTTCAGGCATTTTGTTCTTGCTAGTGTTTCTGTCGTTTAGCTAGCTGTGTCCTTCTTCAACCTCTTGATGGGTTTGCTTATAAGCCAGAAGCAGGGGTCAGGGGAGGGGTATCACAGATGACACACTAGTGCACACCTGTGTTTCTGGCCAGGGCAGCAGGCTGGCCACCTCTCCCGCTGAGGCCCTAGTGTCTGGTGCTGATGATCCTATTTGGTGTCCCTGAGTGGACCTTGATGAGGACCCCTTGTGAATGTTTGTGGTGCTGTTGACTCACAAACAGGAGGGGTCCTGTGCCATGTGAGTCCTCTCAGAATACACCTTTGCACAGGTGGAAGCTGCGCACCAAGCCCTGCATCTTTGTCTGCTGTCTTGTAGGAAGGATTCTGATAGGTAGCCAGAAGATGAAGATGTGAGTGTAATGGAAGCCAGAAGCCCTTCCTCCCTGGATCCTTTGCTGGTGCTCAGTGGCCTCTTCCCCCACACCTGAATCTCACTGTAGACCTTGGAGCTGGCTTCTTCACAGGACTCCTAGATGGAGTCTGTGTGGGTCTCTGAACTCATAAAATGGCCAAAGTGGACTTGGAGGATCTTTAGGGCAGATGATGCATACTTTTCATTAAAGAGCTGGTTGATCTCCAAAGACATTAAAATAATTGCTCAGGGTCAGTTGTGTTCTCACAAAGTTCAAGTATCAGAAAGTTAGTTTCCAAATTCATATGTTATGGTATTTGGAAATTTTTGGGAGGTCATGAGATCATAAGAGGTCATGGGGGCCCTTGATGGAGTTAGTGGCTTTACAAGAGTAAGAGAAACCATTCTGGTTTGCTCCTTTTTCACCACGTAAAGCCCCCACCATGTTAAGATGCAGCATGTAGCCCCAGCAGAGGATGACAGATGCTGGAGACTGGCCCTGGGATTTCTGAGCCTCCAGGATTAAGATACAGGTAAACTAATGTTTCTTATAAATTAATTGGGCTCAGATATTTGTTATAGCAACAGAAAATAGACTAAGACAACAGTTACCTTAGACAATCCTTGAATGAGCAGAGATCATTTCAAACTTCTATCGTTTTCTATTTTTTGGTACCAGGGATTGAACTTGGGACCTTGTGCTTGTGAGACAGGCAGAGGAACCACTGAGCTAAATCTCTGGTCCTTCAAACTTCTAAATTAAATTTAATTAATTAATTTTTTAAAAATCAGGCTTACTTTTTTTTTTTGGTACTGGGGATCAAACTCAGGTCCTTGTGCTTGCGAGGCAGGTTGCGCAGGCTTACTTTTATTTAATGCATTCTAATGAAATAGTAACAATAAATAAATACTTTGAAAAACAGGCAGATATCCCCCTATATCTGGAAGAAAATTAAGTCAAAGTCATGGTAGGAGGGAGATAACTGCTGATGTCCATGGCTAGACAATTTAAGGACAATTTGGAAATTTCTAAAGCCATTAAAAAATAGAAGGCAGCAGTTTGGGACACAGCTACTTCAAAGGGTAAAACATTTATATTGAAATTGTCTTCTATGAACAGGGATTGATTTGTACCTGTATAGCA